CCAAATTTAGATTTAGACTATCGTTTTTGGTATTTAACACCCAGACTATCATATTTTTAGCACTTTTGGTCCCCCCGATGACTTTTCCAGTGAAACTCTATTTTAGGCAAGGATATTTTCATCTCTTTAATTTTTTTTTTTTATTATCCTCCCAGGCTCCCAATGAGTTAATTCTAGCGGAGGTCCCTTGTCTTTTATGGAAATTCCAAATTTATTAATGGACAATCGTTTTTGTCATTTATCAACGTAGATTACCATATTTTGGACACTTTTGGTCCTTTCGATGACTTTTTCCAGTGAAATCCTATTTTAGGCAATGACATTTTTGTCTTTTCAATTTTTTATTTATTTTTTCGGTGCTGATTTTTTTTAATGATTTTCATCTCTTCAGGCGTGGATTGCACCATCTCCTTCACTCAGATCTTGTATGTCTTCAATCCTTCAATCCAGACCCAAAACATCATTCATCATTGGCGATACCAAGTACATGAGGACCCCCGAGTGCGAGGGAATCACTTTGCAACACAGTTGGAAAGCTCAGGATATCACCACCCGATCGGCTTTAGTGTGACCACTATTGTTTTACTCCATGATTCTGTGAATCATCTAGACATCTACTATAGATGTAGAGGGGAAAAAAAAAAACAAAGGAAAAAAGAAAAAAGAAGAAAGAAGTCTCTTCTTTGTTATTAGAAAATATTCTTTCCTCCTAAAATAGTGTTTCACCAGAAAAAAATCATCAGAAGGACCAAATCTGTCCAAAATATGATAGTCTGGGGTATTAAATGGCAAAAACGTTTGTCTAGGACTAAATTTGAAATTGTCAACAAAGACAATGGTCCTCCGCTGGAATTAACTGTACTCATTGGAAAAAAAAATGAAGAGACGAAAATACCCTTGCCTAAAATATGGTTTCACCGGAAAAGTCATCGGAAGGACCAAAAGTGTAGTAGTCTGAGGTGTTAAATGGTAAAAACGATAGTCTGAAACTAAATTTGAAATTGTCATAAAAAAACAAGGGAGCTTCGCTGAAGTTAACTCTTATAAGAAGTTTCAGTAAATTTAACGAAATACTGTTAATTAGGGTTAACCAAAATCTTGGGATCGCTACAGGACACCACAACTGATTGTTCAATTATTGTAATCTATTCACTATTGTAGTTTTTATTACTTGTCTTTTGTGTCGATCGACTAGCAGCCAACAATAACTGATCAACATACAAAATGATTATTTCTCACAATTGCAATTCTGCAAACTTCTTTTCCCAGCACAGAAATATACAGATGCATATATAAACTGTTACGTGCATAATGTTTATTGTATAACATTACATAATATGTACCTATGTCTTTTGTTATTGGCAAATGCTGATTAGAATATTATTTAGTTTATAAGGTCAAATTTCTGGTAGTTAAACATTTCCAGCAAGTTGTATGATAAGATCAACATAAAAATAGATATATAGGTAGACCTAGTTTTGTAATTGTTGGATCTTTTGTATGTAAAATATTGATTGATCTATACTGGATTATTTGTTTTTGAGTGTGGTATTGTAGATTATTATGAACTGTTCTCTAATTATTGGAAGTCGACTTTGAGAGTTGAATCTAACATCTTGTCATTGAATCATAGCACTGATTGTTATGTAAGTATAAAAAAATAAAGTTACTCATTTGTTACTAACTATGACTATTAGTGTAGCGGTAAGCGTTTGATCATGACAATTGATAGGTATATTGTGCAACTTTACTTTTGATAAGATTAATTATGAGGTTTAGACAGAGATGGTCAACATTATATTTGTATTCAAAGGGATTGGCTGACAGGAGAACAAATTTGGTTTCCTCAAATAGAGAGATCGAGATTTTGTTGTCAGAAGAAATTATTAAACAGTTAAAGGCACTTATTACGTACCGTTTAGCAGTGCAGGTGATGAGCTCATCAGACCAAAAATGCAAATTTCAAATCTATCATCAGATGTTTTTCCCCGTTCTTTCATAGTACTAAGCTATATTCTTTGACTGGATCTGGTCTCTAATCTTTGTCTTGCGTGATTCCTGGGTGATTGACGGGAACACAAATCGAGAAAAACCATTCCCCATCTCCACTCTGCCTCAAGGCGTTTGGCTGTGTCCTCTTACACTTCTACTTTAGTTCCCATTCCCTAGTTTGCTTTTTTAGCCTTTGGATCAAATTAAACCTCGGAGTTTGCAACTGAATTGAACATACATATGATTTCTTGTGTATGGGATTGAGTGTGCATGTCTCCCGTCTTTTGAGACTTCATTCTACATCTTTGTCTACTCCAATCCAATTCCTCTATCTGCATGCATATGTGGCTGCTGATCTTCATTGTTGTCCCCAAAAGGTTGAATTCTCAATTCTAATAACCTTAGGTCTTCGTGTATATTATGGTAACTCAGCTGAATAAAGAGACTGTCTCCTTCACTTTGAGAGATTGCTCGCACACTACTATTAGTGAGACTCGATATAGGATCATTGTTCCTAAACTTCACCCATGTGACCAATTGAACTGTCCATACAGACAATAGTATGTGACTGTTTAGTCTTTGTTTTGAAGGATAAGTTAATTTGGTTGAAAATTCAAATAATACTATCATATTAATTGTACTTTTTATTTAATTTTTTCTTGTATTGGTTATAGTTTGAATGAGGGTTGTCATTTTAGCCATCTATCCCTTCTTGTTTTGTAGTTTAGTATTCTCCTAATTGAACAAGGGACGCTTAATGTGTTCCCCAATTCGTAATTAAGTACATTGAATGATTCTTGTCCAACTTTAATTTTGAAGATTAATATGTAAAAGATTGCAACTTGGTGGTTCTTTTAGTACAAGTAAGTTCCTATTACATGTTTGAGATCATGGCTGTAATAGACGCTAAGCCCTAGTCGGGCGGTAGAGTAGCGCCTATACGGTCTATGCGGCTAACTAAAAAAAAAATAGTACACGTGCGTGGGTGCATGTCATATTATATATATATATATATATATATATATATATATATATATATATATATATATATATATATATATATATATATATTTATTTATTTAATGAAAAAATTAGCAAGGCTGAGTTAACTCGGTTAACTTTGTCAAATTTGGCCGAGTTTGCCGCTAACTCGGCCTAGGCGGCCGCCTATGCGGAGCCTAATGCCTAGGCGACGTCTAGGCCGATTTTTACAACAGTGTTTTAGATAATCTTTGTAGATAATTCAGATGATTTTGGATGGACATTTGTTAGGATTTAGAATACTCATAATGTGAGAATTAATTAGAGTTACATTGTAAATAATATATATATATATATATATATATATATATATATATATGATATTCAAAAATTACTAATTTGTCATCGATTATAAAGCATACTAAAAACACATGTGAGTTTTTCTATCCAAAATAACAACATCCACATAGGAATAATTAAATTTGGTACTTTGGTGTGACTAATTAAGGATACTATTGCAACACCATGTTAATTATAGATGAAAATTACACTTGCCCTATAATTAGATATAACTTAATGACTAAAACGGCAATTTTTCCTACTAATGTTAATTCAAAATTTAAAAAGTAGTTAACAATCATTTTATTAATCAATAGTAAAAATAGTATTTTATCTTTTTCATATTAAATGTCATATCATAAAATAGTAATACCTTGATTGGGGTAGACTCAAACCTAATATCTTCGGTATAGAAAATAACAGTGATATCATCATACCATAATGTACTTAAACACTAATAATACTAGTAATAGTGATGCCATCAGGTCATTACTACCTATTTTTTAATCAAGTAATATTTAGCCTCTCACAATCACTATTGAAAATTTACCAATTGATCACTTTATTTTTTCTACTACAAAAAGAAAATTTCTTATGATTTTTAAAACATTTTCGACTTCTACTACAAAAAGAAAATTTCTTATGATTTTTAAAACATTTTCGACCACCTTTGATAGGTAATTAGAAAATTCTAACCACCACTTTTATTGTTAAGTTTCTCAATAATGAACTATTAAAAATTGGTATCAACTTTTTGAGAATAGTTAGGAGATTATTTTTAGTGAAGTTAATATTTTAGTACTAAGGGTAGAATATCATTATACTTTAAGATCAATCATCATGATTAGGTTTTCCATATTATATTTATCTTGCAATGAATAAAATATAGATCAGGATATTGGATTTTAAAGTGCATTAAAAAGTTAGTAGAAGAGATTTAAATAGAGTAATTAATTCTCCCAAACATTTTGATCAAAGGGATCACTACAACAAATAAAAAGGAACATTTTTTTTTTCCACTTTTGCTCTTATGACATTTTTACGTATAGTCTTCAATATTTATTTTTTCACTATTAATCTATCAACTTAAATTCCTCAAAACTTTTAATCTTTTAGTGAGTTTTTCAGGCAAACACTACCTAAAAACTCACTTGTAAATAGTTAATTTAGATGGTGTTTTGGTGAAAAGCTTGACAAAAGGATTAAATTAAAGTGAAAAATTTAAAGGCGAAGAACTAATAGTAAAAAAAAAAAAAAAAAAAAAAAAAAAAAAAAAAAAAAAGTAATGCTAGATACTCAGTGAATGGGTGCCACATCGATCATGATGAGAAATTCAAGAGGGGTAAGAAGTGTTGGGCGTCAGTCACTCGGTCGAGTTTAGCCCCTACTTGATTCGAGACGTGGCGTTGTGGCTTACCATAGAGAGATTGGTTAAATGGTTAATGTCCACCTACTTATCACCCATTGATAATGTTGAAAAAAATGGTTAGGCGCCCTCTAGGCGTCTATTTTTGCAACACTCTGCACTTTGGTTTAATTTAAAATAGAATATGACAATTAGATACCCAAAAACCTATGTGGTTAAGCGTGCTTAACTTACTCAGTTAAAATCATTTTCAAAAAAAAAAAATGATAATTTAAAACTAGGAACAAAAATACTCAAAAGTTAAAAGGATTAAAAGTGAAAGTTGTCCCAAAGAAAATGCATGCAAACTAGCTAAGAAACATCACAGGTTCGCAGAAGAGTTAAGGTTAGTAGAAACATTGCTCCAACTACCACCAACACAATTCCACTGTTCACTTGCCGGAATCATAAAAATCTGCGACCAAGGCGACAACAATCTCGATTCTTCTTGCATTTGTCCCAACATCGTACCCGAACTTCTTGGCCTATTCATTTGACTTTCGGCCTCGCCGCCAATGAAACAGGACGGCGGTGACGCCTCGCCGGCACCATCTTGAAATGGGTATAATCCATACGACGAAGGATTCAGACCGCCCAAGAAAGACAGTTGCCGCTGCGAAGCTTGCTGAAGCCGCCACTGATCAATGGCGGCGCTACCCGAAAGTATAGAACCGCCCCCTTCGCCGCCGTGAAAATGGGTATCTGAAAGTTGGCCGCCGAGAAGATTGAAGTTGGGAGGCGGCGGGGGGATTTGAGGCAAGAAGCCTAGTAAGCTAGTTGAGGCAGGACTAGAACTCGAAGTTGTGGTAGTATTATTATTACTGCTAGTTGGTTTGGTGGTGTTTGATCTTTTGTTGTTCCGCCGGAAGCCGCCGCCGACGGGGACGTTCCTCAGAGCGCCGCCCCGTGTCCAGTAGCGTCTGCACGACTTGCAAAAGTGGCGCGGCTGGGTGAGGCTGTAGTTGTTGAAATAGCAAAACTTTGTGTTTGTTGATTCGCATCTAGGGCAGTTTAGGGCGGCGTCCGGCGCCGGTATGTTGGCTTGGCGGGCTCGCTCCGCCATGGAACCTGGCCGGATTGACCCCACATGCGGCGGCGGTAGCGGTGCTGAAGAGCACAGCTGACTGCTTGGTGGGGCGCAAACTCCAGTATTATGATTTGGCTACAATAAAATCAAAGAAACAACATAATCAAAGATAAATCAAGGTAGCCCAGCCAAGATGACTAAAGATACAAATTTGATAATCACAAGATCACGGGTTCAATTCACAGCCCTTTTAGTTTGAGCCAGTTAGCTATGGACAATGTAATCTTGTTTACCTCCTTATGATTCTTTGTCAGCTAGGAACACAAATTAGGGTTTATCTAGTGCATACGTACACTTAAGTAGTAGCTGTGAGTTTCCAATAATAGCATAATAGTGAAGAAGAAGTAGAAGAAGAAGAAGAAGAAAGTATTACCTGTACTTGTTGCCAGTTGGCTGGATCAAGATAAGCTGGAATGGAGCCAAAAACCATTGTTCTTAGCTTGAAGATCAGATCTTTAATTTACTTATCTTAGCTTTTCTGTAAAGTTGGATAGATGGGGTAGAGTTTTGGGATGTTAGTGGAAACGCAAATCAACTGGATCGGAGTAGGGTTTGCCAAGAGAAGAGTAGAAGGATATAAAGCAAGAAAGATGGGAAATGTGGAGCCAAAATAAAGTCATGAAGAGCTTTACTTTATACTACTAGCTACCACATAACGCATATATATAAGTTATTACAACGTGAGTAGCATCTTAATTTGGTACTCATTTGCTAGCTTAGCGTACAAGTTTGCTGATATTTATGTATCCACGATATGCTATTTGAGTTTGTATTATATACTAATTGCTTTTATATATTTTGCTAATTAAGGTCGGGGTGTATTCAATCCTGACTTTCATAAATTTTTAAATATTTTTATGAACTTTAAAAGTATGGAGCAAGGTATTCAATTCAAACTTTTAGGGAGTCTTTAAAAGTCAAGAGGTATTCTAATTAATTGACCAAAGTTCATGTTAAATTTTTATTCTATTTTTTTTTTAATACACTCTAACATATTCATAGTATATGTTTAACAATCATGTCAATTTTGATTGGAATGGGGTTCGAACCTAAGACCTTCCTTATGAAAATCAATAAGTTAAGAATGATAAATATATAGTTAACGTAATATTTCTTTACTAAAGTTTGCACTGACGGAATGTAGGGGCATTTAAGAAAAATAAATGATATAATATAGTATAGGGTAAAGTAGGAAAAATAATGTAAAAAAATACAAAAATCAAAATAATATGAACCATTCAGTTCAACAAACAATTACACCCAACATTTTTTAGTTCCCGTTAGGGCCTAACTTTATTAGCTCTTATTAGTTTTGTAGATAGATATAAGTACTTAGCATATAACTCTCATCATACTATGGATAAAAATAATAATGTTGAGAATGTTGATGTGGGTGAAGATCAAATCTATCCAATCTGATTTAGGTGCTGAGAACAAAAAGTTGCATTCCTCTCTCACAAAATTAGGGATCTATCATAGACAGTCATGTGCTTATACTCACGACCAAAATGGTTGTGTGGAGCGAAAACATAGACATATTGTCGAAACCGGTCTTACTCTCATGGCTCGTACTTCTGTTCTATCTAGGTTTTGGGATTTTGCATTTGAAACTACGGTTTATTTAATTAACAGAATGTCATATGCTGTAATAAATAATTCAAGTCCTCATTCATTATTGCATAAATCTCCTACATCCTACTCTTTTCTTCGTGTCTTTGGTTGTCTATGTTATCCTCACCTGCGATCCTATAATCGTCACAAAATTTCTTACAGATCCTCTCCATGTGTCTTTCTTAGTTATCCTGAGTCTTTTAGGGGGTATAGGCATGTCAGATTTGATGAGGCAGTTTTTCCTTTTGCTACTAAAAATTCTATGCAGAAAAATTTAGATTCACATTCTAAACCCCGTGGGTGCATATATTCTTCACCCCATGGTGACCGAGTCGGTTGCCTGCGTTCAGTCCGAACTAGCACAGCCGCCTGAAATAGTTCGGACAGAACCAGCACTGCCGGCAGCGCCTCTTGAGGCCGAGACAGCACAACAGGGTGTCTCGGTGGCAGCCACTCGTCCGCGAGGGCATCCACCAGGCCGTTCTACTCGGCCGAATGTCCGCACGCATGATATGGAGACACGAAGCCAGTCTCGCGCACCACCTACAGTTTTGACAACTCAGGTTTGCACCTGATCCTACTTGTTACACACAGGCTGTCAAACACTTGGAATGGCGCCATGCCATGGATGAGGACTTTAATGTTTTACTACAGAATTAGACTTGGTGTTTGGTTCCGTCTCAATCTAACCAAAATGTGATTGGCTACAAATGGGTCTTTCGAACCAAGAGAAAGGAGGATGTTTCAATTGAGAGATACAAAGCCAGGTTAGTAGCTAAGGGATTCACTCAGGTTCCTGGTTAGGACTTTTTTGACACATTCAGTTTGGTTGTAAAACCTACCACAGTTAGGTTACTTCTTTCTTTGGCTATATCTTCTGGTTGGACTGTGAGACAACTAGATGTTCATAATGCTTTTCTCAATGGTAATTTGACTGAAACTGTTTACATGCAGCAACCACCTAGATACATTGATGTTCAATTTCCTAATCATGTATGTTTGTTGAAGAAATCCTTGTATGGGTTTAAACAAGCTCCAAGAGCTTGGTTAAACTGCCTTCATGCGTTTTTATTGTATGTTAGATTCCAGGCATCAAAACACATATGTGTCACTAGTTTATTACTCCCAGAATTCTACTTATGTTTATCTTCTAGTTTATGTTGATGACATTCTGGTGAGGGCAGTGATCTGAATCTTGTGAGTTATTTATTGTCAAAATTATCTACAACTTTCAAGATTATGGATCTTGGTGAACCATGTTTCTTTCTTGGTATTGGAACAATTAAATGCAGTGATGGGATCCTTCTATCTCAGCAACGGTATATGCTTGATATTTTGAATCGTGCCGGTATGACTAATTGCAATCCTTTGTCCACCCCAATACCTGTTTCGAAATCTCTTGCTAACTCTACAGATTTATATGATGATCCTACGCAATATCGAGCCTGGCTGGAGCTCTTCAGTATCTTACTATCACTAGACCAGACTATCTTTTGAAGTTAATCAACTTTGTCAGCATATGCATGCTCCTATGATCACTCATTCGGAACAAGTCAAACATGTGTTGAGGTATGTCAAAGGGAATCTATCATATGGTTTATGTATCCGAAAATCTGAATCCAGAGAATTGCATGCCTTCTCTGACTCAGACTGGGCTGGCTGTCCTGAGGATCGTAAGTCAACCAGTGGTTATGCTGTTTTTCTTGGATGAAATCTTGTGTCTTGGGAGTGCAAGAAGCAAAGAACTGTGGCCAGATCTTCCACGGAGGCTGAATACAAGGGTTTAGCTGATGTTTGTGCTGAGGTAATATGGGTTCTATCCCTCTTACGAGAGATTGGCGTCACTGGGATCTCTGTTCGTAAGCTGTGGTGTGATAATCTTGGTGCTACCTATCTATGTTCTATGTCGCAGTCTCGCTGAGAGTTTTCACGATGTAGAGTTTGCTCATGTGCTAAGGGAAGGAAACATGGCGGCAGATATGTTGGCAACAAAGGCTCTTGGGCACTCGATTGGATATCGCAATCTTCTTGAGCCCCCGGCTGATCTTGATGACATTATCAGGAGCGACAAACTGGGGGCTTTGGTGCCCAGACGTGCGAGTAGGCACGGATGACCCTCTGTGCTTGGGGTTCCCCCCCCCCCCACCTCTTTTCAGATCAAAAAAAAAAAAAATCTATGTTTTAATCCCATTTTTCATGCTCACACTAAACATGTTGAGATTGACTTTCATTTTGTGAGAGACAGAGTCGCCAAGGGAGAGATTCAAGTCAACTTTATCTCCACCAAAGATCAACTTGCTGATATATTTATAAAAGCTTTAGCATGTCCTAGGTTTTCTTTTCTTAGAAACAAGCTACATGTCACATCTGTACCGTGTGCTTGATGGGGGTATTAGGACTCTATGTATTTGAGTCTGTTTATGATTCACAATCCTAGTCTCCCTCTGTCTCCTCTTGTATATATACCTAGAACCTGTACTCTTGTAATTATCACTGTTAATACAATCCATATTAGTTCTCATCCCTTTTCCAGACCCTAGCTAGTAGTATGTGAGTGTCTCGACAGATGTAAAAGGTTACCTAAGGGTAATTGACTATGTTCATTATCGGCAAACCTTATATGGTAGACCTCTCGCAGTATCGGTAGGTCTAGTATATGTCATAACATCTTACTGTACCTAAATTAGAATTACCAAGTTAGGGTCTGGCAGACCCTTGCTATGGCTATCCGATACGGTAAAGAAATACGGAGTGTATGAGGAACTTCCTCTAACCTTTTGTGATAAGGGAAATATTATCAGTGTATATTTGGGGGATAATGGCAGATCAATTATCTCCATTTAAGTTATTTATAGATGTGGAGTAAGGATAATGGAAAGGATATTTGTCCTGCAAAAGGTTGGATTCATGTCAGGAAAAAAAAAAAAAAAAAAAAAAGGAAGCAACAAGTGATGTGCGCGTTCGCACACAGCCAATGGCCACATGGGCGCGTGCACTGCACGCGTCTGTGTGGCGCGTCAGGCGCGCTAACAGCACGCTTGACGCACTATTTTTTTATTATTATTTTTCTTTTTAAAAAAAAATCAATTTTTTTTCTCTCCCCTCACATCTTCTCTTTCTTAATCACTCTTACAAAAATTCCTTAAAGACCGCACGACTTCTGACACCAACAAGCGTTCTTTTTGACCACTATATTAGTCCGAAAATTCCTTGCTGAAAAAGGGAAATAGTTTTTAACCAATAATGGTCAATTATGTGTAGTAGAAAAAGATGAAATGATAGCTTCAGGTAGAAAATGTGATATGCGTCGTGTATGAGCATGCATTGGAAAATTTACCGTTGGACAGTGGACACATTATTATATCACATTAATTCTTATATTCTTTTCAACTTCACTTGATTATTCATCTTCAGGGTTTTATTTAGTATAAAGAAGAGCATGCAATCTATTATTTATAAATAAACAACAATATTGTTGCATTTTATCTTTTTAAAAAAAAAAACAATATTGTTACATTTACTTCTTAATATTTATCACATGATGCAACGTTAATTACTCTTTTTTCATATTTAATTACTATATGGATTTCTTTTATACCTTGTATTAAGACCAACAAATTCATGAACTAATAAATATAAAGGATTTTATACAAAAAATGTAATTAGGCCCTTCAACTTTAAATAGTTGCAATTAAACACAAACTTATAAAATAGATCAAATAAGTTCTATTTACCAATAACCAACAGGTTATCAATAAAATTGACATTCAGGACGCCGTTGACCATCGTAGACTACCATTGACCACCACCGTTTATCCAAAAAAAAAAAAAAAAAAACAACAATAAGGCGACCGTCGATCGTCTTCTTCACGACCGCCACGACCGACGGCCACCATCTTGAAGAACAAGGTGACCAGATTGGTCGCCTTCTTGAAGGAGAAGGCGATTGTCGTCCGTCTTCTCCACTGAAGAAGGCCACCGTACTGGTTTCTTTCTCAATGATGCCGACCAGGTTTCGTTGCCGAA